CATCCCCAAAAAACAGGTACTTTAATGTAAGAGGCTTTTTTGGTAACTTATATGTACTCCACTTGCCTTCCTAGCTAGAAAGAGAGCAAAGACAGCAACCTAGCCTTGCTCTCACTTTGAACAGAATGTCACACCCAAGAAAGATGTTACATTTTTTTGCAAACAATAATTTAATAGCTTTAGTCCTTTTCTATATAGCAGTTTGGTCCTTTTCTATATAGCAGTTTCACACTCTAGTGCTAAAAGAATACAATATATGCAATCAAACATGCATTTGATTGTTCATATGTTGTCTTGAACACTAAGTAAAGAAAGAGCATGATTGGAAGAAAGACAGAGTGGTACAGTGCAGTGAATTTTGCAATCTATAATTGATGAATTGACTGCAATATGTGCACTCAACCAAATGGAACTTATTAAAAATGTTTAAAAACTGGGACAGTGAAATGTGGGCCCAGCTAGAAAATCTAGAGATGAAGTAATGTACACTTCGCTTAGATTTCTTTACATTACATTTTTTTTGAAAGAATGAATGCTTTTGTGACATATTCAAAATTATGAATGATCTGTAATAATGACAAGATAGCGAACAAACTAGAGAGAAAAGTATTACAACCTTGATATATTTACCATTGTCTGGAGTTGTTTCATGTTCCATGACAAGCTCATAGTCATGACCCCTTTTCTTTGAAGAAGACACTGCAAGGAAACTTCCAAAGGTCCTTGGACGCCCAAAAGTAATATTTTTTTCCCATCTAGGGTAGTACATGCTAAAAGCAAAAGATAACAGTTGTTCTCATTATCTACAGTAACAGCAAATTACTAGAAAAACAAAATGAAACAAAACATATTAAAATGGGAGCTTAGTGTTCCTAAACTGATAAAAAAGCTGGACACAGAGCACACTGATTAAGTTTGAGAGACTGAGAGACTAAAAGTAGGTTTTTATGCACAGTTATGAAAAAAACGTTGTTTTGGTGTGAATAGCAGAAATATTAATGACAACTTTGACAACATTAATGAAATACAGTTTGGTGTAGTAATTTAAAGGGCTGGCCAAGAAACCAGGGACTGTTGAGTTCTAGGCTTCCCTTAGGGCATAAAAGCCGGCAGGGTGACTTTGGACCAGTCACTCTCTCTCAGTCCAGTCCCAACTCACAGGGTTGATATAATGGGAAAAATAGAAGGAAGAAGTATTATACAAGTTCACCTCCTTGAATTACATATATATATTTAGAAGTGAAATAAAAATATAATACTATGCTCCATTAAAAATAATACACATTTAATGTTGCTTGTTTAGTCACGTTAATTGCATCCAGTGCCAAACAGATACATGTGGTATTCCATTTTTTTTAAATTTACAATTACAATTTCTTACTTCTATACTCTCTATTAAAGTCTCAGAAGTCTTGGTGATTTAAGGTTATTCTGTATCACACCTTTTCATACCCTATAATGTCATCTTGTTCATTCATTCACCTACTTCAGGGGTTCCCAGCCCACTACTGAGCTGTGGTCTATTTGGAACCGGCCCCCGCAAGCGGTGGGATGGCATGCACCTGCATGCAGTTCGATTTGTATAAACAACAGGCCAGCGCGCATGCACACGTGTGTGTGCAGCTCAACTTGAACAAGTCAAGGTACACATGTGTGCCAGCCCATTGCTCCCACAATTTGAGAAATGCATGTGCACATGTGCACTTACTGCTCATGTGGCCAAGTTCCCTTCTCCCCTCCCCCTGTCAGGCTGGCAAGCCATAAAGATTGAGAACCTCCAATCTATTCCACACACAAACACATACAGCTCATTTTGAGGTGCAGGGCATTCAGAAGTTTGGTTCTTCCTTTCTCACTGTAGCATCACCCAAGCATGAATCTGCATCTTTAACATTAGAGATCTGCAGTACTTGAAAAAGTGCTTTAAAACCAACATGGCTAAAATAGGACTTTGAGCTAAGTGCCAGCAAAGTTCAATAAGATGCTTTTAGAGTATATGGAAATGCTATTCTCCTTAATTCAAACCTGTATTTCCTTGGAATTGCACAGCTACCTCATGAGCCCAGGAAAACATACAGCTTTTTTATTAGGTGCCACTAGGTGAGGTTTGTATGTGCACCTATGCCCGCTCTAAAGTATCTTTTTGGCTTCAAATATGAAATGCTATAGTAACTCTGATGATCACGGTATATGAAAAGTCAAAAATATAATCAGACATTCTTAATTCTCTGCCAATTTTTAATAGCCTATTATGTGTAAACTCACATGTGGCTCAGATGCTGAATGAACAACTCTATTGTGCAGAAGTAAATAAGCAGGAAAAAAAATTGTGTATATTTATGCATGAAGCACTTTTCTGCTATTCATTAGTCCCATTAATTTTAACAAATGGCACCAGCTTTTCAGACTTCCGTGGAAATCTGAAAAATGTTCGATGACATTAAGAAACAGCAAACAGCTTCTTCAGATCATGTCTGAGACATGCATACACCTAAATATTGTACCTTGTCAGTGATTATTTCAATGATCATGAATAAACTTACAAACTTACAACCCACAATTTATTAGTAGTGGAGATTGTGCAGGAAATAGAATAGAATAGCATACTTTATTGGTCAAGTGTGATTGGACACACAATTTGTCTTGGTGTAAATACTCTCAGTACAAATAATGGAAAGAAATAATGGAAAGCTCACAGGCAAACCAATAAGGAAAGGAGGATTGGGCAATTTATTTCTTCTTTTTATATGTTCTTTTTCTGTTTGTCAGTATTGTAAAAGGAAGGTAGAAGCAACAGCTTTCTCCTCCTTTTTATCTGAATAGCATCAACATTTTATGCCCATTAACAGTTCAGTACAAATAAGCGGCCTAGCAGAAACCACTGCCAATTCCATTGAAAATGAGCATTGCAATCAGTAGAACAGTAGATTTGTACCATTTATTTTAGTAAATAATACTGATTCTGATTCAGCTGAATAGTGAATTTGCAAGACTGGCTAGTTATTTAGAAAAGTTGTCACTGAGAAGTTGTATTTCATTCAGGCAGGTCAAACATGAATCAAGACAAGCCAAGAATAGTAACCTGAGGTAATAAATATAATTTACTGTTGTACCTTGCTTTTCCAGAAGTTTGATCACTGCTCTGGCAGTAGGGGGAACCACACATTCACATATGTCTCCATGCACTAATCTTGCCAAATTAAAATCTGTTATTCTGTAACAAAAATAAGAGATTTAGGTAAGAAAATGCAAGCAAAAGAGTTGGTGTTATTTTTAAAAGAAAAACCATGATACAAGGACAATGCAAAGGATTCGGTAACAAGCTGATCTTTTTTATTAGCATGTGGATGCTTAGAACTTAGTCCAGCTCTGCTCAGCATGATCCCACATATTTCTAAACCAGGGGTGGACTTCAAAAATTTTAGCAAAAGGTTCTCTGCCTGGTTGCTGGATGGGCGTAGCCATGGTGGGCGTGGCCTAGTTGGCCTTCCGCATCACGGTGCGGGGGTGTTTTTGTTCTACCCGGGTTTCGGAGGCTTTCCTCGAGCCTCCAGGTGGGTGAAAACGGCCTCCCCAGGCTCCAGAGGCTCTCCTGAAGCTGGAAACAGGCCCATTTGCGGCCTTCCCGAACTTCCAGAAGGCCCAATTTTTGCCCTCCCTGAGGCTCCGCGCACACCCTGCATCCAAAACGGGCCACGTGGGAACTCCTGGGAGGGGAGGGGCAAGGTGGGTGGGGCCAGCCAGGAGTGGGATTTGGGCGGTGGTGGGATTCAAATTTTTTTACTACCGGTTCTGTGGCCGTGGCTTGGTGGGAGTGGCAGGGGAAGGACACTGTAAAATCTCCAGTCAGAGGTGGTATTTGCCAGTTCTCCGAACTATTCAAAATTTCTGCTACCGGTTCTCCAGAACTGGTCAGAACCTGTTGAATATCACCTCTGGATTTGGGGGTTCTCTGAACTGCACAGAATCTTTGCTAGAGGCTCTCCTGAACCCCTGCAAACCCCCAGTAGCCCACCCCTGTCCTAAACCATGAAGTCTTAGATTGCCTACCCTTGGTCTGCTGATGTTAAAAAAACGTTCTCTCAGTGAATCATTTCAATATCTGAACGTATCTTATTTGTGTCTTCTGTCCTTCATTCTCCCTGTCCCTCCCACCCCTAGTTCCAATGGCCCAGGCAATTAGTCTGAATACAATTTGGAGGGAAAAAAGTAGGAGTGGTAAATCAGGCCTAAAACCTGGAAACTAAAAATTGCACCCCAACACCTGCAAGCGACCACTAACTCCTTTATTTTACCTCTGGGTTCTCTAACCAGCATTTTGGCTCTTTTTGTGGAACCTTTCTTAGGTTCCAATTTCTACCTCTTAAAACTACTCCCCGCTCCCCAACTGCAGCCCAGTCCACTTTTTAAGTACAGCAGTGTATATGCTGGTCAAAGTCTAGTGAGGTCCCTCATGATCTAAATTCACTTCTGTAAATCACTGAATAAGCAAGTTATTCCCAGTGTTCTTCAGAAGGAGCCATGGCCTATATCTCTTAAAAGCAGCTGTGAAGCTCTTAATCCCCTTGTCACAATGCTACCTATGTTTCCACACCCGTTTTGCTTGGCCTGAAGAAGATGGGAATGAAGAATATCCCTGAAACATCTAGATACAGCTGAGAGAAATCTGTTATTTGTTTGTATATTAGATATATCTGAGTTGTTTTTATTGTTTAAATAATTGGCTTTTGTCATTACAGTTTAGCAGTATAGACACATTTCAGCAGCTTGGAATAGGATAAAAGACTTTAAGAAGGGCCTTAAAAACAACATCTGATATCTTTGAACACCCTCTTTTGTGGGTTTGTAGAATGCCAAGGTCATGTTCTAACCAACATGATTTACAGAATAGCTTTATATTTAATTTCAGAAAACTACTAGCTTATTTTTCTTGCTCATCTGTTCTTAGGAAGTATGAAATCCATATGGTTGCACAACTTTTTTAAAGATGTAAAATCCAGATCTGCTCACCGAAATTTACTAAGTTTAACTTACCCATTCACATCTTTCTCTGGTTTCACAGCATTCAATATTTTGCTTGTGTATGATTCTCTACAAAGGCGGAGGAGAAGGCCATGAATTCTAGGATCCTCGTTGAGTTTTTCAATTTCACCTATGACCTAAAAGGTAAAAGGAGGTTAACAAAGCCAAATTTTAAAAGAGCCATGCTACCAATAAAAATATTATCATATATAAAGTTATTGAAAGTTTAAAATATTAAGAAGCTGCTTAGTGGCAAATGCTCTTTCACTTGCAAAAATACACTCAGAATTATGATCATTTGTTTTAAAAAATCATTATGGTCCTGTTGTACTTATGTCATTTATAGCAGTTACATGAACTATATCATTCCAATGTACAACTGAGGAATGGTGCTCCACGATAAAGGAACCGTATGAAAATGAGGTTACATGAAAGCAGATCAAGGAGGTGTGTGGGAGTCAGATATCAGTACAAAGCTTGAATCTGCAGCAATCCACAAGTTCAGACAGTCAACAGAAAGAGCAGTCATAGCAGGGCTGCACAAGTACTGTCAGCAACATTTATTCTATTCAGTAAAAAGAAGGCAACAAAGATAAAATCATAATTGCAGCATGGAAAAAGTCCAACACATCAGATAAATGAATGAATATTGTACAGGAAATCTGGACAACATCTTTCACTGAAAAATCCACAGGTCATGAACAAACTTGCAGACCACAACAATACTAGACCTCTGCAAAAATAATAGGATGCACGTTTTTCCCCTTTACCCATTCAGCTTACTGTCCTTCCCTAAATATTCTTTAATGGAGTATAGTAAGGGAGGACATTATAAGAACATGAAGAAAGTAGCTGTTTGTTTTTTAAGGACTCAGTATCTACAAAATGGAAGAGGAGTTACAGGTGAAACTCGAAAAATTAGCATATCATGCAAAAGTTCATTTATTTCAGTAATGCAACTTAAAAGTTTTAAGTTTCATTACTGAAATATATGAACTTTTGCACGATATTCTAATTTTTTCGAGTTTCACCTGTATGTGTAAAAATGTATATCAATCAATATTTTCTTCCCATAAGCGTCAGCCTGGGAAATCCACATGGCAAAAAAACAGCAAGTTGTGTTTTCTTACTTGTGTCCTCCAGCAACTTGCATTCCCATGGCATTCAAATACACCATATTTACTACTTGTTAGTGTGTGTGTATGTAGGTGTGCACACATACTCATAAATACATCCTGGGTAAGTTTATGATTCTTCATGATTGTCTGGACATGCCCATGCAGTTTTCCTGCCGAGGTGTTTCCGAAGTGGCTTGCCACTGCCTGCTTCCTAGGTCAGAGAGAGTGGAAGTGGCCCAAGGTCACCCAGCTGGCTTTGTGCCTAAAGCAGGACTAGAACTTACAGTCTCTAGCTTGCTTTCTAGGCTCCTGCCTTGAGCATTACACCAAACTGGCTCTTTGTCACCAGTATTGGGGGCAATTAAAAAACATTAAGACTTGACATTATTAATAACCATATTCTCCATATTCTCAACTTACTTTCATTTTTCAACTTCTCAGAACGGAACGCGGGGGGAATAAAGGTATTTTAGAGAACTATAAGTAAACAGGCAAAAATACATTTGAGCTAACCTACAAAGCTAGTGACAGCATTCAGATGACCATGGCAAATCCTGATAAAAGCTAATAGGTTGGATATGGCAAGTATAAGGGTATGTGGGAACAATCAGATAAGGAGGGTAAGCCCATAGCTACATAACAGAGAGTGAAACAAAAATAAAAAGGATTCTCCCTAATTTATCAGGCTATAAAAAGAGATGGTGAGAGATTTCAAGTTTCAAACTTGTATGATTCTGTTAGCATGACAATAAAATAGAATTAGGTCATCTGCTTATGTTTCTTTCTGATCTACCTGGTAAGGCTGACAGCAAGCCTTTGTGAAAGAATAGCATAGTAATTTGATGAAAGCACTCTGAAAGAAGGCACCAATAAATTACTTCTAGATTACCATCGTGGGTATGTCCATGTGGGTACCAGAAATAAAGCTTACCTCAAAAGAGAGCTTATATTTTCATTGCACTGTGCCAACTTGCCAGATCTGAAAACTTTGATCAAGTTTTGTGGGTAAACTTGCCAGAACATGTAATTAAGCTTCAGATGCACTTATTAATTTATGTCTAGTTTAATTTGAGGGATTGAAACATGAAAATAATCCTGTGTTGGCAGAAATCATAGCATAACCTTAGGGGAAAACGTTACAACATTAATAATCAATATATATATATATTTTTTTGAATCCTGCAGGAAACTCTGTGCTTGGTATTAATATAATTTTTCATATGTGTCAGCTATGATTCACATTCAATTCTCAATAATATGTTCGTTCATAAATCCACATATTTGTTAAAATATATAAAATTATGTATACATTTGTACACAAAAGCAAGTCCCACTACATTTTATGGCTTATTCCCAGATAACTGGATATAACATTATAGCTTTAACTTCTTTTTAAAATTCTGTTGATTTACTGGTTGATTATAAGCTTGGATCAGATAATTTCCATATCTAATAGAGAAATGTTTATCTTTTCAGGTGTAGCTTTTGATATCTTTTGAAAAGCTACATTTAAGAAAAATAACTATTTGTGCATAGAAATGTTTCTTTTTGCACAAAGGAATCTTTGAATTTATGCCACACCGACAGTTTTTGTTGTTGCTCATTTTGTAGTCATGCCATTGTAAAACCAGTACATATAAATTACATAAAATGGAGCATGAGATCACTGGAGTGATAACTCTGAAAAGAATTCCACAAATAGTAGTGAGCTGAAAACTTTTTTATTTGATCATTGGAACATTTCACATTCAACAGTTATTGGATTATGATTGGTAAAGTACCTTCTGATAGCAATGTAGATATAAATAAACAACTGTACCAGTTTTTATTTGGATAGAACTAAAAATGTCATATTTAAATATCTCAATGAGATTTTATTTGGACTGAATGTGTTTATGAACTAAGCAATTGCAATTACAATATACATACACAAGTAATACTATTTTACTCACTAACTTAATTAAATCCCATAGCTTTTCAAAAAATAGAGTAAACTTGCATAGGATTGAGATAATTATTTCTAAGGTTATATTAATGAATGGCATCCAGTGATTTCCAAGATATCAAAGATTTAATCCAACAATACAAAATATGTAAATAAGTAGAATTTTAAAAATGTTTACCTCATTTTCAGTACTGTCATGGGGAAGACAAATATGAACAATATCCACACCAATCTACAAAAGGAAAAATTGATTTCAAATAAATTCAACCATCTTTCAATACTTAAATTGTTTTTAGTGAGGAATTTTTTTTCTTCATATTTTTACCTCTTTAGCAACGTTTCTGATAATTTCTTGTCCCAAATAATCATCACCAACCTTGAATATAAATAGAAAAGGAATATAAAATTGTAATAGGCTAAATAAAATATTCTAAAAAATGCAATGGTCTGCAAGTCATAACTGAAGTAAAAGTGGCAAGAAATCACAGATTTGAAATTGAGTATATGATTAATTGAACTGAATAGAAAATGCTTGTATTCCACAACTAACATATAAGAAGCAAATTTAGGGTGGATTATCAAATATCTTTTACAAGATCCATGATATGGAATTGCTTTACAAATTTTTGAAATTATTTTAGCAAAATCTGACCTTTTTGTATTCTTGCAGGAGTACAAAAAGCAAAACAGATAGAAATGGAAACACAGTAGCATAATTTTCAGCACAGCAAAAACAAAAAACAAACAAAAAGAAAAGCCTAGGACCCTGTGTAGGAATATTCTAGCATTTTGACTCTCCTAGGTATACGGGGAAATTTTATTGCAACAAATATGGCATTATGCATACATGGTGGTTTCTTAAGCAGAAGATGAAACAGCACAATAAGAAATTGTAGTGTAGTGCAGCTTTTCACTCTTGACTCCATAAAGATGTGTTGGATTTCAACTCTTACAGCTCCAAGGCTGTATAAACAATGGAGGGCAATAGACTGCCTGCCACTGGCATAAACCAGTGGAGCATTTGTATTAAGTTGTTCCAATCCCCCTTTTCAACTTGTCTGGTATGCCATACTGAGTTATGTTCTGAAGCAGCATCCAAAATTCAGACCTGTTTTTTAGGAGGGCTACAAAGGACGGGATATCACCAGATCCAACACCACGTGATTCTTATTGAGAGATAATGGAAATGTAACCTCATCTGAAATTTGATTGCAATATATTACATCCACCTATTAAGGAAATGTAAGAATATATTATTCTTACCAGCTATCTGTGCAACATGCAACAGAAACTCTTACAAAATCTATCTCAACTTTCCAGTTATCACACAGATTTTAATGCCACTGTATATTTATAGATTTCATCAGCAGTTAGAGTCATGAATATTACGACTCCATAATATTCCTTTCTTCCACAAAATACAGTCCACTTTTGAAACACAAATCCTGCAGGGTTTATTTTTTGTCTTACCTGTATAACAGAAAGTGTTGGCTTAAATTTAGGGTGTTCTTGCTTCAGTAAATACAGGGCTTTTCTTGAGGTTTCAATGATTTCTCTTGAAATAATAATAATAAATGTATTAATGGGTAATATTTTTAACCATTATATATTGACTGGGCATAACATCACCATCCACAATAAGCCTCAAGTTGCATCATCAGACAACAAACTTCATAAACTAATAATCCGTAAGAGTTTTTGTTCATTTTTGTTTGCCCTTTGTAATTTTTTGGCGAGCGCTGTTTATCAGGCACCTTCTAGGTCAACTTTTAGTAAGTAAGAGAGAGATGTTTAATTTGAAGAAAATATTTCAAAAAGAATTAGCAAGATAAAGTACAAATCTGTAAAAATCTTCCCTATTTATTGTTGTCAGTTTCTATGTCATGTAGCCTTGATGCTCCATATTTTTTGATGCTGCCTGACAAGAAACCTTTGGTTTTTAAAAGTACGTCTTTCCCAAATCATAACTGCCTTACAATGCAATGCAATGCAATGCAATGCATACTATATCCAACGCGAGGCGTTTAAAGTTCAAAGAGATCCGTTTGCATACATCGTTGCAAATTTACAGCTGCAAACAAAGCCAAATCTACTAAGCTGTCAGGCAAGAGGACTACAAGGCAAAACCGCAAGGCAAGTAAAACCCCACTCAGCAAGTATAGTGCAAATCAAATCTTTATTTATCAACCAGCACAGAGTCTAAATTTTCTGAAAGGCCGAAGGAAAGTCAAGATGTGCTATTTCCCTTCTCCAGCTTTTCAAGAAAAGTTATAAAAACCTATTGGACACAAGCGAAACTCGAGCGATAATTGCCACGGATTTTAAAAGGGAAAAAAAGGACAAGAAATGAAAGATGACCAAACCCCTAGAAGATGGCAGCCACAACAATGCACACAACAAACAGCTGAATCGACAGCCGTCGTACGTGGCAAAGCGTTTCAACTTCCCACTCAGTGCCGGTCCGCTAACATTCCACACTTTTACACAAGCTGACGGGAGGGGGGAGGAGGGAGGGAAAGGTAGTCACGTGGTCCGGGAGAAGGGGGGAAAAAAACCCGCGCCTTTCCCTTCCTTCAGACTGATTGGCTCCGAGAGCCGCCACTTCCTTCCTTCTCCACGACAATTTAGAGGCTTTATTGCATCAGACCAACAACGCGAAGGCGGGGCTTGGGAAATCCTCACACGTGCGGTGCCGGCCGGCCAATTTCTAGTTATGAAAGAACCAGCGGTGGGATTTGCCAGCTGGCGCCACCTTCTTTTTATTTATATTACATACACACACACACACAAAACATACAGACAGACAGACACACACGCAGACATACACATGCGGGGCAGCCGCCTACCTCAGCGCGGAGCTTTGAGCGCCTTCGCTGCCGGTGCCTTGATGCTTCTCGCCGCAGCGCCGCGTGCTGCTGCTTATCCCTCGCTGGGGCGAGAGAGTCGCGGAGCAAGCGGCCGGCACGACGGGGCGCAGCCTTTTGCTAGGGAAGCCGCCGACGTTTTTCTTGGCTGGCCCGGCTGGTCTGCAGAGCAGGCGGCGTAAGGCGGAAAACCTCATTTTTGCTGGGAAGGAGACGGCCGACGAGTGCCCGGTGCTTCCCGGCGAGGAGGAGGAGGAGGAGGAGGAGCTGGACTCTGGGGAAGGACGCGCGCGGCGGGGCTTCGAAGGGAGGCGGAGTAGGGTTGCTGGCCGCCGGACAGCGTTGGGTTGGCCCCAGCCGCTGCAGGAGGCGAGGCGGAGCCAAGCTCGGCTGAGGAGTCGGTTGCACTTCCTTCCCGTATTGCGGGACGAGAAATAAAGGCCTCGCAGGTGACCCTCGAGGGCGCTGGCGGGGCTGCAGACTAGAACGGCGTTGTCGCAAAGTTTTTTTTTCCTTTCCTTTCCTTTCCTTTTTCTTCAAGAGGCAATTGGAGTTTAAGGTTCTTCTTTGAAGACGTTTTGCTTCTCATCCAAGAAGCTTCTTCAGCTCTGACTGGATCACCAGGGAATAGAATATATATATATATATATATTGCCGCCTATTGGCCCATGGTGACTCGAGGCGGCTTACACAATGAAAAACCATATTTAAAACAAAAAATTAAAATTTAAAAAAATTATACTTCTTGCAGAAAGCTGGTAATGAAAAAAAAAAAGTGCCTCCCAGAAAGTCCAGTTGCCTCTTGAAAAAGCACCTTTGGGATAATCATGACCCGGATGACTGAGAATCTCCATAGAAAATAGAACAGTGTTGGGCACACAGGATCCTATGTGTGGGACAGGACCCGTTGCGTTTTTTGGTACTGAGCAGAGGACTTGTCTCCTCTGGGAAAAGTAGTTCATGTCTCAAAATTTTCAGGTTGCAGATTTAGAGGTAAATCCTACTGAGTCTTTAAAGGCTGCGGTAATTTTAAAATACCAATTAATTAAAAAAAATAAAGCCCTTGGTGTTGAACACCACTCCTGGTGTCGCTATGGCCATATTAGCATTTGAAACAAAGTATGAGTTCGAACATGGCATGGTTGGGAGATCAGAAAGCTGACCGAGAGAAAGCTAGACCAACTTATTATACTTTGTTAAGAAATAGATGAAGTTACCAGGAAAAAAAATAAACCCCAAGGGTTGGGGTTTTTTGTATCTACCCCCAAAGGAAAATAAGTTGAGCACAGGGTTGTTGACAGAAATTGCCAGTCCATTATGCACTAGAGGTAGTGCTTCGACTGACCAGAATTTTGATTAAGTGATGTCATTAAGTGAGTCATTTGCACAGCCCTGATTTTATGAACATTGCCAGTCATTAACTGAATCCAAGTGTTTAAGTGAATCACACAAGTGGATTAGGCTTCCTCAATTGAGTTCTCATGGAAAACTGGCCAGAAAGGTGTCAAATCATAATCACTTGACTGCAAGATGTTGCAACCTTGGTGCCAGTTGCCAAACCCCCAAATTGCAGTCGTGTCAGGATGTTGTGATGGTCGTAACTTCAAGAACAGGTTATTGGTGAAGTCTTTTTGAATCCATTATAACTTAGATTTTTCAATAGTCCAGGACTACCTATAGAAGAGCCATGGTGGCTCAGTGGTCAGATGCAGTACTGCAGGCTACTTCTGCTGACTGCTGGCTACCTGCAATTTGGCAGTTCAAATCTCACCAGGCTCAAGGTTGACTCAGCCTTCCATCCTTCCGAGGTCAGTAAAATGAGGACGCAGACTGTTGGGAGCAATAGGCTGACTCTCATAACCGCTTAGAGAGGGCTGTAAAGCACTGTGAAGTGATATATAAATCCAAGTGCTATTGCTATATGTTCTTGGCAAATTTAAGGCGTTCTTTCAATTTCTCGATGAGAAGCCTTCCTTTTTAGATAATGGCTTCAATGGGGGTTTAGGAAATTGTATTTTATAATTGAATGTATACTAACTCCTGATAGCAGATTTTGTCCTACATTGGCTACAAACTACGGTACGATTTTAAAGTTTTCAACACAAGTCAGAATACAGGTAGTCCTCAATTTACGACCCCAATTGAGCCCAAAGTATATGTTGCCAAATGAGACATTTAAATGAATTTTGCCGTTTTATGACCTTTCTTGCCAGAGTTGTTAAGTGAATCACTGCAGCTGTTAAGTTAGTAACACAGTTGTTAAGTGAATCTGGCTTCCTTATTGACTTTGCTTGCCAGAAGCTTGCAAAAGGTGTTCACATGACCCTGGGATACTGCAACTGTCATAAAAACGAGTCAGTTGCCAAGCGTCTGAATTTTGACCACATGACTACGTGAAATGGTCATAAATGTAAAAAAATGGTCATAAGTCACTTTTTCAGTGCCATTGTAACTTGGCCACTAAACAAACTGTTAAGTCGAAGACTACTTATATTTGAGGTTGAAAAGATCTGGAATGTTGGAAAATTTAAAGCAGTAGCTGTTAGCCAGCAACAGGCAGTGATTGCTGTTGGCAAACAAAAGCTGCAAAATGTTTTTCCCAATGTGTTAAAAGAATTTGGCAGCTGTCCTTTTTGTGTTTTGGATTTTGTTGTATTTGTAGCTGCTTGTAAGCTCTGGCAGCTGGCCAAAGACACTGATAGTAGGTCTGCTTTGTAGAATGTACCCCTGGCCTGTTATTTTAATTTTTCATAATTAGATTCCACCCCTGGTAGTCTAGACAGGCTTTTTTCCCAATTAGTTGTAGTGATTTGAATATGTCTTACGGGTACAGGAAAGGTTATTTTGAGTGAAAATATTAATATCAATCTTGCCTAGACTTTTCACCACTTTGACTAGCTTACTGGGTATAGAAATCCCACATTCTTGCTATGGCTTGAATGCACTGATTCTGTATTTAAACTTTAGTGTTGTTCTCCAGGCTGTTGCATGGACAGACAAAGACAATAATTGCAGAACTAGATTGCTGAAGGTTTGGTACAGTAAAGCTTTAAAAGATAGTTTCTTTAAAAAAATAGAGCTTCTGCAACTATCTATGTCTGCGGAATTAAATAAAGTAGTTCATTAAAAAGTCTGTTGAGGTAACTGCTGAGAGAAAGTAGTATTTATTTTTTTCTAAGCAGCATTTACTTACAGGTTTGACATGCTTTAAAGTCAGCTTTTAAGCATAACAAAGGAGAAAAAAGGACTCTTCTACATGTACATATATTTTTACATAGTCTTTACAAAATGAGTTATGTAAAAGTGCAACAGAGGGTCTATTTCTTATCAATAGAAGTAAAACAGTAACACATTGTATGATATGTTGAAGGAAAGTTGGTGTAAATTCATACAGAATAAGCAACTTCATTTTCCATTTGTCTGGCAGTATAGTGCAGGTACTACCAATGAATACAGAATAGATTTAAAAAAAAACATTTAGACTTTTTTTTAACAAACAATATTACCTGGATAAAATAAGGCTCCACTAAAATCTCTTCAAAGTTTTGAAGGAGAGCTGTAAATTATTAAAGAAATTATATGCCCATATTTAGAATTGAACAACAAAGGATGTACAGTACATGTGATAACAAGCCCGTTACATATAATATTCTCTGGCCCCAATATTCTAATTTTAGCAACCATTTTTACATTCCCCATATTTTTATTCCGCCCATGATAATTAATGAAGTAATGCGTCCACTTAGTGGTTTTGTAGGCCTATCTAGTCACCCAAAGGGTAACGTACATTCTATGGATGAAATGGCACCTACTCGATTCTGTTTAAACACAAGCACTTAGAAAAAAATATTCTTAGAGCAGGCTGAAAATCTGAATCTTCTGAAACTGTAAAACTATTTAAAATATTTTCAGAAAAATGTGTGATGATCTGAGTTATTCAACTAACCAAATGCAAACATAACATTCACACAAACGAACAACAGTTTTCTTTCTATTTTGGCTACTTTTATATATTTTATAAAGGAGGTTTCCCCCCCCTCAAAAAAAATTAAATACTTTCCTCTAATTTGGGGGTAGCGTCTGCAATCACGAACTATATAAAAAAGTTGGGAGGTGGGGTTCCTCAGCTTTTTTTCATCCAGACCAGAAAATCATCATCATTCCCTTTGCTTTTACAAAAACAATGACTTAAGTGATTGAATTCAATCCATATTGAATTTCAGCTATTTTTATTCCCTGCCAGCAAGGTTAAAAAGTACACAAAATATACTGACGCTTGTCTCTTATATGACTAAATGTTACATATTTCACTATTTTTTCAGATTAACAAAAATCCAGTATAATAAAGCAGACATGACTTTGTTACTGTATCTGGATTCCTATTACTATATTTATATTATTTTACACATTTTATTAAATAAATCCCTAAATTCATATGAACTTATTTTTCATCTCTACTAGACACACTTCGATCTGCTGTCAGATTTTCTATTGAAGTCGGGGCAGCTTCCTGAAGTAAGAAAAATAAGAGAGAACTAGCATTCTAAGAAAAAATACCAGAATGACACATTTCAAAGTAATTCAGGGACCATGTCTCTTTCAGTACTTATTGCATCAGAAGGGATTATGTACTTATTAATTTGATGGTGTTGCCAAATCACCAGGTCGTTCTGACTGCTATTATGCTTTTTGGTGGAATGATGGCAAATCCTGCTCAGTAAAATGTACTTCAGTTGATACTTATACTGTCCATGTGAAGTTTGGTTGTATAGATCATGGATCTCCAACCTTGACAACTTTAAGCCTGGCGGACTTCAACTCCAATTGGAGTTGAAGTCCACCAGGCTTAAAGTTGCCAAGGTTGGAGACCCCTGATATAGATCATGTGTTCACTCCCCCCCCCCCAAAGTGTTTCAAACTGAAGCTGCCTTACAAAACGGGTATGTATAGCATCATGACCAGGAAACAAAAACCTATTCCAACCCGAAGAAGGTATTTAGTTGGTTGGTCTAATTTTAAATTTGTCTCTAGACCCACTTGCATCATTGATGTTAAGACTGATAAGGGCATACGTGTCCTCTGACTGGATGCCAGAGATTGGAACTTGTCTGCTCCTTCAAATTGATGCCAAAGCCAGTATGAAGACTTTGCAGGTGGGTCCTAGGCTGCTGTTGATTCGTGGGTATCAAATTTGTGAGTTGGAAACATGATTGCTTGGACGTGGGATAGAAATAATGTATTTAGTGCATTGGGGAAAAAGGGATTTTCTAAACTAGAATTCCTGAAAAATGTTCTTGCTTGATCCCAAAGACCCATTTGGTCTGTACCATTTGCAGTTTTACTTAATTAGAACTGTGTGGAAACGTAACTAGTACATACATAGAACACATTAGTACATTTCAGTTGAGTCAAAGCAGTTCATTCTTCTGTGTTTAAGCAAATAAATTACAAATACATAAAAGTTTAACCACTAAAGATCTCCCACTGTTCTTGTTTCTCTTTCTATGAAATTCTTGTGTACGTGGACAGCTCTAATAGATACTACATACAAGATATTGTTCCTATAATGATAATTACAAATATATAGGGGTGTGTGTGTGTGTGTATACACACACCAATCTGACTTACAAGAACTGGTGGTCATACTGTATCACATTAAGGCTGAACAATAGAATTGGGGAAAAGGCAATATTAAACAAAACTACTTGAACTGAGACACTGAAATTTTTCCCTAAGGGATTGGACAATATTTGGCTGATTACTAGATGGCACACTCCATAAGTAATCGTTCAATTTGTCCGAATCGCCGCATGTTGTCAAGAAAGAATCTGATAGCTTAGAAGGATCCAGCAATTTGCCACTGTGAGTTTCTGAAGGAGTAGAATGCGGATGCGCTTTGGGATGCAAGTCCTTTGTTTGGTTACAGAAAGTCTCTATGTCGGATCCCTCATCTTCAGATTTAATTTCAACATAGTCGTCGTCATCTCCTTCTCCGTTGTCACTATCTTTGAAATTACTAAAATAATTGTGGGTTGCTATGTGTGCATTTGAAGGCAGATTCCTTTTAACTCTCAGAATTTTCTGAGAATCTTGTAGAATAACATCAGAGACATTTTCTGAGGTCTGCTTTGTCCCATCGGATATCAGATGGCCAGGGGTGGCAACAGATACTGATTCTTGACAGTGATCAGTCAGAATTTTTTTGTTGGAATGCAAATGCTTTTTCCTCATTTCCGGTGGATAATTTATCAATTCTTCAGACTTGTTAAGCACAATGGAGCAAGAGGAGTGAGATCTGCTATATTCCTGTGGCTTTGTACTGCTCTCTGTCCTCCCTAAAGAATGATAAACGTGGCTGTGATACAAGTTCTCTTTATTGGGCTGATTTATAATAGCACTCCACCTTTGTGCAGGAATGTGTGGACAAAGAGGAGTCTGAAAGGAAGGCACCGAACAGGTTACAGGTCTCACATTTGGCGGTGGCGCCATTTCTATAAGGGAGCTTTTTGTCTTCAGGTGAGGCGTTTCTGGCCAAGGAGAAAAATCAGAGAGTTCTCCATTACTATATGTTGAGTGCAAAAGCCAATTTTCAGCTTTTAAACATTCTGCAGCTAAGTGAGATGAGGACACAGGTGAAGAATATCTTATGTTTGTTTCTTGAGAAGTAATCTTCTGTGTTTTGGGTGAAGTTTCCCGGAATACAATTTGATCATATAGTTGAGAATATTCAGCAATTCTTGCACCTAAAAACAAAGGGAAGTTTTAACTAACCTTGACAAACAACACCAGTACAAGTTAACATTTCCTAATAAATAAGGACTTGACTTTAGTCAAGAGTCACAGATTTTAATATGGCATTACTACTGCAAAACAAATATAGATGAACTTAGACACAGATCTTTTTCTCCCATTTCCCATGTTTTCTCCATCTTCTCAAAAAGGATGTATCTAGAGCAAACTGGGGTACATGAAGTACAACCGGAAGCCAAAATAAAATCCATCCGTATAACATATGTATCCCTTAATTTTATTTTTGATTGCCTTCAAGTCAATGTTTACTTCTGGCAACTGCTTGAACTAGTCCATTAAGTTTTCTTGGCAAGGTTACCTTTTTTAAAGTGATTTGTCCTTGCCTACTTTCTAGGGCTGAGAGTGACTGATCAAGGCCACTCAGCAGGCTTCATGCCGAATGTGGGGCCAGAATTTATGGTTCCCAGTTTCTAGACTGATGCTTTTAACCACTAAACCAAACTGGCTGTAACATCTATGAAGACATAGTGTGCCCACTGTAGGGAGGATGGAACAAGCATGGAGTTAACCTGGAGTCACTCTGCCTAATTGCAAAAGAGCTAAGGCTAAAGGTAAAGGTTCCCCTTGCACATATGTGCTAGACATTTCCGGCTCTAGGGGGTGGTGCTCATCTCCAATACAAAGCCGAAGAGTCAGCGCTGTCTAAAGACGTCTCCGTGGTCATGTGGCCGGCATGACTAAATGCCAAAAGCGCACGGAACGCTGTTACCTTCCTACTAAAGGTGGTCTCTATTTTTGTACTTGCATTTTTACATGTTTTCAAACTGCTAGGGTTGGCAGAAGCTGGGACAAGTAACGGGAGTTCACTCCGTTACGTAGAGCTAGGGATTCGAACTGCCAAACTGCTGGCCTTTCTAATCGACAAGCTCAGCATCTTAGCCACTGAGCCACCAAGTCCCTTCTAAGGGCTAAGGCTAACCTGCCCCAAATTCTCTGAAGCCTTATCTAATTGTTCCCAAGAGTAGGCTGCCAGGCTGGGGAGGTTCCTGTATTATAGACAGAACATAATTAGTTAGCTTGTGCATGTGTGGGTCCAATTGTCCATGCCCGACAACTACTGCTACACAATTTCTTCTATCATTTCTTCTACATACTTATTCCTGGAACTACATCCAATCAATTTTCTGTCTCCTGATGCTAAAATAAAGTAATATGATGGTATCTAGGAAATTCACCTTTTTGCAGTGATCCCAGCCCAGTGAAGCACCCTCTCTTGTGATCTGGCAGGCCCCCACCCTACATGGCCTCTGGAAGGCCCTGAAGAACTGGCTCTTCCCACAAACATTAGTATAGAGAGCGGCTAGAGCCCAGCAACTCTGAATGTCAATGAAGGGAAAAGAATCTGGCTTTGGGTACCGTGAGGTTTTGTGGAATTTTTGATGTGTTTTTTAAAAATATTTTTTGCTCCTGTTCTTATTTGTGAGCCAACCAGAATTATTATATACAAGATGGGAAGCCACATTAAGTCCAATCAATCAGTCAATATTTTTCAAGCCATTTCTGTGTATCTGTTCTCAAAACATTTGCGCTCTCTTCATTTGCACAATGAAAACCCACTACTCTTTCATGACACTATAGCTGGCCCTCTTAACATTCCCCACACCCAATATAAAAAAATATATTTTCCACAATAAAATGTCTGCAGAAGTCAATAAAACTAAGTATTATTGGTACATTTCTCACTTCAAGAAATATGGGGAAAATACAACATTTGCATTTATATTTTTGTCCCCTAACCTTTTTTTAATTAAAATGAAGTTACGCAACTGTTTAGAATTTATGGTAGGCAAGTTCTTAAATGCACTGAGAAACTCACTACTTTTCTGATTTAAATTAGACATGTGGCTTAATTTAAAAGCTAATTAGTTAAGCCAGTACTATAAAATTTAAATCAGAATAACAGAGTTGGAAGGGACCTTGGAGGTCTTCTAGTCCAACCCCCTGCTCAGGCAGGAAGCCCTATACCATTTCAGAAAATGGTTGTCCAAACTCTTCTAAGAACCTTCAGTGTTGGAGCATTCACAACTTCTGGTGGCAAGTTGTCCCGCTGATTAATTGTTCTAACTGTCAGGAAATTTCTCCATAGTTTTAGGTTGCTTCTCCCCTTGATTAGTTTCCACCCATTGCTTCTTGTCCTGCCCTCAGGTGCTTTGGAAAATAAGTTGACCCTCTTTTCGTGGCAGCCCCTGAAATATTGAAACACTATCATGTTCCCCATACTCCATCTTTTCATTAAACTAGACATACCCAATTCCAGCAACTGTTTGATACATAATCATCTTTGTTGCTCTTCTCTGCACTCTTTCTAGAGTCTCAACATCTTTTTTACATTGTGGCAACCCAAACTGGATGCAGTATTCCAAATGTAGTCTTACCAAAGCATTATAAAGTGGTATTAACACACCACGTCCTGCATTAACAATAGATCTTATTCATAATGAATAGAAATGCTAACATAAGTATATTAATTGGAATTTTTCAGTCAATTCAAAAATTATTGACCAATGAATGGATGGGTAAAGTATACCCATAAATCACTGTGTTCAAGTATTCAACAGATCAGTTTAGAAAATGAGGGAAAATATAAGCATACCAATGGCAGCTCCACCTTGTTTTTTCTCTTCTAAAATGGCTGCTAAGTCCTTGTGCTTGGATTTCTGTTGCCGACTCAGAAATTGCTCTTGCTCTGCACTTTTTACTTTCAAAAACTGATTTGCTTTCTTGATTTTTTGACTGTATTGTCTTGCCATCATAAAAACACGATTCTTTGTTTTATCCACAGAATCCAGTTCACCATTACTATTTATTGTATTTACTGTGCAAAATATATTATTGGGAGTTTCATAAAGGCTATCAGCAAAACCTCTGTCATTTGAGAGGGAAGATCTGTTGAGATCTATTAGTGAATTTGCTTTATATGATGCTGCCTCTTCAAACTTAATGTTGGCTTCACTTAATCTGGCTACCTTGTTTGGCAAAGTTTTTGACAAAGCACTTTTTTCCGGTAGTGGGAGCATAGTCAATGAATATTTTATATCTTTATTTGGCCCAGTTGTTGTTCTGCTAGATACTTGATCATCAACCTCATCTTCGCAGACAGGAAAAGCCGCAAGGACGTGATCTCGTGCCTTTTCTTCATTTTTCTTGATATAATTCTCCAGGTCATTCCAGATTTCATCTACTTCCTCTGATAATTTATCTGCAACAGACTTGTGAGAGTGTGAATCAGAATTTGAGGAACTCTCCGCCAAACTTAAGCAGCCACGATCTAATGGTACATAGTGATAGGGATTT